AAATTAACAGTCATCACACAAAAATTATTACAGTAAATTAAACGTATTCTACACGTTCCAAAAGTTAACACTGCAAATAAAAAAGGCAATAATATAAAAAATTATGCTGAGGTAAACCATTATATACTCAACATATTTAAAAACCAATTTAAAATTTTTTAATTTAGTTTGCTCAAGCACGGATCCCACTCGTTGCTACCAAATGTTAGGGGTTCGTCGAGAAATAGATATCTTATCTCTTACTTCTGACACCAAATGTTAGGGGGGTTTAAACCGAAGAGGTGTTCTTATTCACTCATCCGTGCACCTTTGTGTGGTGGCAAAGGGGTCTAATAAGACCTGAGCAAAACTAATTAACATCTATACAACACCAATATTAAACTAAAAATAAAACATAGTAAACACACATAATATGCATTTATTTATCTTTGTTTGACGTCACAAAGATTTATATCTTAAAAGCAAAGACACAATACAAATAAGACCTGGCCAGTCTTTCTTATTCAAGAAAACATCACTTGAATTTCTAATACAAGTCAAAAAGACAAAAATAATCAAACTTACATTTCAATGCAGAATTAGTCACCGTGGTAACTGACATTAATTCATAGAAAACACATATATAAGTGTGAATAGCAAATCTACATTTACACAACTCAGAATTCACACATGTCATATCCTCTAGTCCTAACTTAAATACTTGCACTGCTTATGTAATCTCAGAATCACACTTGTCAAAGTTATTCTTTCTAGTCCTAATTTCACTTGTACTGCTATGTAATCTCAAAATCAAAAACGTAAAAGACATCGTCTCTAGTTCTAACTTTACTACTTGCACTGTTATGTAATCCCAGAATCACACGGGTAAATGTTATCATCACTAATTCTGATTCCACTAATCAAACACGGTTAAAGTTCATCTATGAATACTCATCAGTACTCACAACAATCTAGCTCGACACTAAAGCGGCAGGAAGTTTTCCAGCCACTGGAATACAACATTGGGCCACAAAGATAATGGCCACTGGACGAAGAACATATTTACACGGCAGGAAGATTTCCAGCCACTGGAATAGAACATTTGGCCACTGGTACAAACATCGGGCCACAAAGATAATGGCCACTGGAACGAAGAACATATCTACACGGCAGACGTTTGGCCACTGGTACAACATAGGCCACATGTATAAACATAGGTCACATATGTAAATATCTGGAACGAAACACATATGTACAGCAACAAAACATCGGCTGGGCCAATAATCCAGCCTTAGTGGCCAGCCATAAGGCTGCCACCATCCGAGGCCTAGACCATCGTGTCTAGCCTATGTGTCTGTCAGAGAAAGAGACCTCAACATAGTTGCCCTTCCTCATATATAGGTTAGTCTCACCCCCCTTATCATCTCCCTAGAGCTATAGAACCCGAGTTGGGCTCCGTCCCATCTCTCGACGTTCGAGATAACACCGGTCACTATGCACCCATGCGTTGAACACCCGATAACTGACCGCTATAGATCTTCCCGTAGTCTCAGGGCTAACTATCGTGTCATACACCGCTCGAGCTAACGTATGGCCACACGGCACTCCCGCCGCGTTTCACACCTAACAACTGACCACAACAGAGATCATGAGTAATGATTCTACCGGGACGTCCAGCGGCATGCCCGGACTCAACTTTAGACATAAATCACCTCGGGTGTCTTCCCATCATTACGTGCCACTCATGCACCTGCATAGAGCTCGTAGCCCTTAACGATCAGAGTGAGCCGATAACATTTTAATTAAAATTTAGATTTCCCTGGCCTGCTCATCCCCAATATCTTAGATTAACCCCTTGGGTTTCCGTAACTAGTCCTAGTCACCTTAGCCCCTTTAATAAGCACCCAAGTTACCATTTTACTTAAAAATAAACAATATAGTACCAGCCAACATGCTTACTTAAGAATCAACAATTTGGTACCAGCCAACATATATATATATATATATATATATATATATATATATATATATATATATATACATATAGGCCTATATATATTTATATGTTTCTTAATGCATATATATGTATATATATATGTATTTATAAATTATCTATCTGTCTGTCTACCTGTCTGGACCGAATGGACACTTGCCTGATTGCGACAAATGCGCGAAAGCCACTTCCACCTTACTGAAATAAAAATGTAAATACATTTCTTTGAACTAGATTTTGTGTGGCATTTTAACTCGAGCTGTCTTTGTTTTTGTGTGTATCTGTATCTGCGTGTATCTGTAGCCTGAATTGTCTGTGTTTTACTGGATATGTGCGTGTCACTGACTATCAGTATGGATGCGCTGGTGTATCTGTTTAACTACATAAGTACGTGTAACTACACGAACAATATGTATCTCTGCTTGTGTGTACCTCTGCATATTTATCTATTGTACACTTATGTTTTATGTATATCCCTGCATATGTAGGCTTATCTGTCGTATACTTATGTTTCATGTTAATATTGTTTATCTCTGCTTGCGTCTATAAGCATATAGTGTATTAAAAAAAAATAATTTTATTTACAAAAAAGAAAATTAATGTAGCTATCCTGAAGAATGTTGTCTAATCAAATATGTTAATATGATGAATGTTTAAAAGTCTTAAAACACCAGTCGCTTAGTCAGCTGAAAAACACGACAAGGTCCCTGCTAAATATCCCCCCCCCCCCTCCCTGTGTTTTATCGCGTCATCCTACAGTTTACTGTAAATTTTGGATACTGGTCGTGGAATACAGTCAATCTTTTAACATTAGTTTTCTCTCCCGTGTACTATTGATACATTGATAAATTCATCAATCTACAAGCATTTTCTCTTAAGCTATATTTAGTTCTACTTAATGCCTGTACAGTTTAAAAACAAACAAAAAATGTTTCCGCGGAAAACAGTTTTCTGAGAATCTGCTAATTTATCCGCGGTGTTTGACCTAGATTAGTCACACCGTGAGCGGCTACTGGTGAGCACTATCAACAGCCCGTGATCCCAGACCGTGAGTCAAGTTTGGGCCATCGATTTCTGTCTGGCTGTCTCTCCCTAGCTCAGGATATAACTGCATGACTAAACCGTACTCAATAAACTAAACCATAATGCCACACAAGAAAAACAAAAAGGGTGAGCAATTCTTATATTATAAAATATTTTACACTTCAAGAGCTTGACACATATAGATTTATCTAGTTAAAGCTGTTTTTTAAATAACCTGACTATCTCATAAAAAAAAAATACTTTTTTTTTGCCCACTCCTTGTAATCAAACGTACATTCACATTGTTTTTTCATCGGACCGATAGATATGTGATAAGTGTTATTGTTCACATTGACTTTTCTACAGTATCTGAGTGAACAGAGCTTTAAGTATAGAATCTGAATCTTCCACAATAAAATGCCGAGCTATCAAATTTCGATTTTAGACTGCTGGCACTGTCGGCAGCACGTCCGCCATTTTGTCCTCCATATAAAAACAATGCATACCTTGACCCAGTGACCTACTTTGCCGCTGTTTAGTTCCAAGAAAATGTGAGAAAAGTGGAACCGCACCGGGTGACACCATTTAGGGGGGTGATACCAAGGCAAACAAATAGCAAAATATATAGAGAAAAACTTGAGGGGAGGGGGGGGGTGCAAATCGAAAATGTGAAAGTTTGTCCCAGGGAAGGGTCGCTACGCCTCTGGGAGGGGGGGTGGGTGACACCGGGTGACACCCGACCTCGCTACGCCACTGGGTTATACACATCGGTTTTAAAACTAAAGAGGGTTATACACATCGGTTTTAAAACTAAAGAGGGTTATATACATCGGTTTTAAATTCGTGTCGTCATGTATGGATGACACCTAGTGAAAAAAAAACTTTTTAAAAACATACTAATTATTGCTTCTCTTGGGGTAATTTTTAAAGCGATCAATCATTGAGTAAACGGAAATATTGACAAATGTGTGTGGAGCGTCAATATGAAACTGATCTGTGCCATAATTCAAGGAAAACTGTATGTAAAAGGTCAAGATGAAGTTTAGCTATACCATGATTCGGGGCATATGGTTTCACATAATGAGAACCCTTGATTTTAAATTACAAATTACGTAATTAATGTGTTTTGGTTGAATAAAAAGTCGTTACAACATTTATAATTTTTTTAGATTTTTTCAGTTAAAATTTTTCTTTTGAAAAAAAAAAACTCAATAAGAAAAGAAGGAGGAAATAAAACCAAAATTTCCCCAAAGTTTGTCGCGGACTTCCTGTTACCAGTGTTACTGCTTTGTCAGGTAGAGGAGGATTTGGGGTGGGGAGGGAGGGATATATGACCAGGTCTCCGATTTATCTGTGTTAGAGATTGTGGTGCAAGCCCACGATTAAGAAAGAGACCATAAATTTGACGCAAGTTTTAACTGACAACTGCACCATTCCAGTTGTGGTTCAGGTTAGGCTTAGGTAGGTCCCAGATAAACAGTTAATCAAGTTGTTTGTTTCATAATTCGTTTCAGGTAATTTTAGTTATTAAGTCAATCTGGATTTGTATAAATAATGTATATCAATAATGACGTAACTCAAACACACCTATCCGTCTGCAGGATCGGTAATGTCGCCATTAATTAATATTGGATAAATTATCATAACCGCGTGCTTAGTGACTCATCCCTTATTAATAAATCAATACATCAACACACGTTTTTAAATAACGCTTTAAATACTGCACACTTCTTGAATTCACAATTTAGGCATCTTTTCTATCATTTATTTATGCGCTTACTACTGATTATGTCACCTTTAATTTAATGCACCACGGAAATATTTCTGAGTTTTTATTAATGTAGCCTCCAGCATTAAATTGTACCCCCTTCAACGTGTACCTCTCCCAAAGCTGATTAATCCCCATTCATTAATTTAGTTTATTAGCATGTTCTCGCCCAGTTGATGACAGCTGTGTAGCATATCACGTGACATCTGCTGACATTTTCCTGTCCTCAGGCTAGGGTGCAGTTGTGTAGGCAACTGAACAAAGTCTTATGTTAGGCGAAAATTCTATGAAACCAGGTGTTGGCTGTTGTTTTCATTGAATAGGTTAGAGAAAGAGTAGTTTCTTGTTAAAAAAGAGTCAGGGAGAAAATCGATTCGTTCATAAAAAAGGTAGAATCGATCCTACCAGGCTCGCGAAAAAAAGCTGCAGGAGTTGAGTGAATGTAGGTCGATTGTTTAACCTGACGGGGAGGGCTGGGGTGGAGCGCTTCTGGGAAACAGCATTCTTTCTTGTGAAACTCACAGAGTGCTGCACTTTCTGTTTAGCTGAGATATTAGCTGTGTAGGTCTGCAGAGGAGAATGTCAGGAGTTTACATGACAAGTAAGTGTTGATGCTGTTGTTTTATCTAGTTGTAAGAAGTTTAAAATGTAGTGACATTACACGTGAATACTACTCTGGCGGTTATGTTACTTTTATTAAATACGTGACTACTATACTTACAGTCAACATTGTCTATGGTCAATATGTTGTCTGGACAGTCCAGCGCATGATCTGGATCTAACCCCCTACCCCACCCCCCGTACATGTCAGGGATGTGGGATGTTATTCACCTGTTATTTAGTGTACATTTTAGTTGCTGTGCATTTTGTGATGTGTAGTGTGTGATGTGGAAAGGGGGGGGGGGGTGATTCAGCTAATTAATGGAGGATGACATGTCACTCTCGGTTTTGATATAGAGACTGTTAAGTTCTAACCAGTTCAAGGTTGAACAAACCAGCAGATGTTGTAAGGTTGAACTTACCAGCAAATGTTGTGAGGTTGAACAAACCAGCACATGTGAGGTTGAACTTACCAGCAGATGTTGTGAGGTTGAACTTACCAGCAGATGTGAGGTTGAACTTACCAGCAGATGTTGTGAGGTTGAACTTACCAGCAGGTTGTAAGCCACCAAACACGAGGCAGATCATCTGCTGCTCACCTGGTAAAGTTGACACTGTTGGTGAAACACACTAACCAAAACTATAAGCATTAAAGAAGAGATGTGTGGTGGTTGTGGAGATGGAGAGAAGTTGTACTATAGATTTGTTGTAGTAAAACTAAGTTTCACCTTATAACAACGTCTTTTTTTCTGGCAACCTGTAACGTTCTGGGTAAAAACCAAGACCCATATGGGCCGTATCGTATTCAGTCCAATATCGATTAAAAGGAATGGCCGGCCACGGCAAAGTGAAAGAAACCCGGAACTTAAAAGTGTCAGGTTAAAGAATTCCCCTTGTTTTTCTACATTAAGGGCCTACTCCACCTGACAATGTACCACTGTTTCACCTGTCAGACCTATTCCTACATCAACACACCACCTCAACACACCAACATCAACACACCACACCAGCATCAACACACCACACCACCACACCCCACCAAAACAACATCAACAGACCACCACACTACTCGAACATCGACACACCACCACAACACAACACACCAACATCAACACACCACCAACATCAACACACCACAACACCAACATCGACACACCACCACAACACACCAACATCAACACACCACCAATATCAACACACCACAACACCAACATCGACACACCACCACAACACACCAACATCAACACAACACCAACATCGACACACCACCACACCAACATCGACACACCACCACAACACACCAACATCAACACAACACCAACATCGACACACCACCACAACACACCAACATCAACACACCACCAACATCAACACAACACCAACATCAACACACCACAACACCAACATCGACACACCACCACAACACACCAACATCAACACACCACCAACATCAATACACCACCACACCAACCTTGACACACCACCACAACACACCAACATCAACACACCACCACACCAACATCGACACACCACCACAACACACCAACATCAACACACCACCACACCAACATCAACACACCACCACATTAACATCGACACACCACCACAACACACCAACATCAACACAACACCAACATCAACACACCACCACACCAACATCGACACACCACCAATCAGACCTATTGCTACATCAACACACCAACACACCACACCAACATACCACACATCAACACACTACCACCCGACACCAACATCAACACACTACCACACGACACCAACGTCGACACATTACAATTCAGACCTATTGCTACACCAATACACCACAACACCACACCAAGCCCATAGCTTTGTATGTTGGGCTTCGTATTGTAGCTTTAACTAGACCATTAACCCATAGCTTGACTTGCTAACTCGAAACGTATTATGTTTAGTTAATACCACGTATCTTTAAATGTACGACGTCATAAAATCCACTATCCCTATCAGAGGGTACATAGCCTACACAGTGCACGGGATTCTTCACCAACTGTAGGTCAGGGAGCCTAGACTTAATGGGGCTGAATGACGCCAGTATCCTGTGTTTCAGCGAGATACTTGATACGTCTGTCATTGTTATAGGGACGCTTGTTTTGCCTGAATTATCTTCTATCAGGATATACAAGATAGACGGGCAATGTCTGAAACACATCGTCAAGTTTAAACAAAGTGCAGTCACGTCTGTGAAAGATTTAAAATGTTCAGTTGATAAGGCTCTATTAATTAAAATGCCAATGTGTAATTACTGTGTACAATTGTTATGTCAATTTTGATAAGTACACGTGTTTGTGGGTACTAATGTATGTAGGTGACAGAGTCCCCGTATACATGAAACATGCATGTGGTGCTGTCTGTGTGTGTTGTTGTCTGTGTGTGGTGCTGTCTGTGTATGTTGCTGTCTGTGTGTGTTGTTGTCTGTGTGTGTTGCTGTCTGTGTGTGTTGCTGTCGTGTGTGTTGCTGTCTGTGTGTGTTGCTGTCTGTGTGTGTTGCTGTCGTGTGTGTTGCTGTCTGTGTGTGTTGCTGTTGTGTGTGTTGTTGTCCGTGTGTGTTGCTGTCTGTGTGTGTTGCTGTCCGTGTGTGTTGCTGTCTGTGTGTGTTGCTGTCTGTGTGTGTTGCTGTCTGTGTGTGTTGCTGTCTCTGTGTTGCTGTCTGTGTGTGTTGCTGTCTGTGTGTGTTGCTGTCTGTGTTGCTGTCTGTGTGTGTTGCTGTCTGTGTGTGTTGCTGTCTGTGTATGTTGCTGTCTGTGTGTGTTGCTGTCTGTGTTGCTGTCTGTGTGTGTTGCTGTCTGTGTGTGTTGCTGTCCGTGTGTGTTGCTGTCTGTGTGTGTTGCTGTCTGTGTGTGTTGCTGTCTGTGTGTGTTGCTGTCTCTGTGTTGCTGTCTGTGTGTGTTGCTGTCTGTGTGTGTTGCTGTCTGTGTTGCTGTCTGTGTGTGTTGCTGTCTGTGTGTGTTGCTGTCTGTGTATGTTGCTGTCTGTGTGTGTTGCTGTCTGTGTTGCTGTCTGTGTATGTTGCTGTCTGTGTGTGTTGCTGTCTGTGTTGCTGTCTGTGTGTGTTGCTGTCTGTGTGTGTTGCTGTCTCTGTGTTGCTGTCTGTGTGTGTTGCTGTCTGTGTGTGTTGCTGTCTGTGTTGCTGTCTGTGTGTGTTGCTGTCTGTGTGTGTTGCTGTCTGTGTATGTTGCTGTCTGTGTGTGTTGCTGTCTGTGTGTGTTGCTGTCGTGTGTGTTGCTGTCTGTGTGTGGTGCTGTCTGTGTATGTTGCTGTCTGTGTGTGTTGCTGTCTGTGTTGCTGTCTGTGTGTGTTGCTGTCTGTGTGTGTTGCTGTCTGTGTTGCTGTCTGTGTGTGTTGCTGTCTGTGTGTGTTGCTGTCTGTGTATGTTGCTGTATGTGTGTGTTGCTGTCTCTGTGTGTTGCTGTCCGTGTGTGTTGCTGTCTGTGTGTGTTGCTGTCTGTGTGTGTTGCTGTCTGTGTGTGTTGCTGTCGTGTGTGTTGCTGTCTGTGTGTGTTGCTGTCTGTGTGTGTTGCTGTCTGTGTATGTTGCTGTCTGTGTGTGTTGCTGTCTGTGTTGCTGTCTGTGTGTGTTGCTGTCTGTGTGTGTTGCTGTCTGTGTATGTTGCTGTCTGTGTGTGTTGCTGTCTGTGTTGCTGTCTGTGTGTGTTGCTGTCTGTGTGTGGTGCTGTCTGTGTATGTTGCTGTCTGTGTGTGTTGCTGTCTGTGTTGCTGTCTGTGTGTGTTGCTGTCTGTGTGTGTTGCTGTCTGTGTTGCTGTCTGTGTGTGTTGCTGTCTGTGTGTGTTGCTGTCTGTGTATGTTGCTGTCTGTGTGTGTTGCTGTCTGTGTTGCTGTCTGTGTGTGTTGCTGTCTGTGTGTGTTCCTGTCTGTGTGTTGCTGTCCGTGTGTGTTGCTGTCCGTGTGTGTTGCTGTCTGTGTATGTTGCTGTATGTGTGTGTTGCTGTCTCTGTGTGTTGCTGTCTCTGTGTGTTGATAGCCCTATGACCATCAGCACGTCCTTGCTTAAGACTTATATTTATAGATTTCTACATCTAGTTAGGTAATGGTGCCACAACCTAGGGTGCAGCAGTATATGGTAGCCAATCACGCGATCAAGCTACGGTGACACCATCCGTTGTGTGTGGTGTTAAGGGGGGGGGGGGAGATTACAACTTCCTGTGTGTTGCTCCCTGAGATAGCAGTCAGTGTTTCTTCCAGGCACCTCTTCATGGGGGGGGGGGGGAAGAGAGGGAGTCTACCGCCCACCCTCCCCCGTACGAAATGGATTTTATACAGAAAATATATACTTTTAAAATGTCAAGTGCACCCCCACCCCCGGAGAAAAAATCTGGAAGAAACACTGATAGTACTTCCGGTGTCGCCCTACCCACTGACGCTAATGTAAATAAAACTATTGTATAAGATCATGGAAGTATAGCAGTGAAATACTGATGAGTGGACTCTAGCGTTAGACAATATTAGGGATTAGGGTCTGTGGCAGGGGTTTTTGTAGACATAAATGGAAATGATAAATGTTCTAGCCCCCTTCCACAAATTCAGCTCTTTCGTAATTGTTTTCTCCAATCCCATCCCATTGTTATCCCATCTTTATAATCCACCGTCGCATGATAACACAACATGGACATTGCCCAACAGTGTTGTGACTAGATTGCTAAAAATAGCTCACATAGTTGCCGATGAGTGTATAAATGTAATACGACTAGCTTTAATTAAAGGTCAAAGTTCACAGACACTTAAAAGATAAATAATAGAAGATCCTGTTTGTTGAGATCATTCATTACAGAGAAAACATTCGTGAATGTAAGTAGGATATTTTGTAAAGTTTAAACTGGTCAACACATTTAGAACTTTATTTAACATTAAATTTCTGTGCGACATTCAATCGTGTGATTATCAGTAGGGCCTACGCTAAAACATGGGTTCAACGGTTAAAACAATTAAAATTAAATCACGCGTTTAACAGCTAAACTATTTATTCACGTGTTTAACAGTTAAAACTTTATAGTCGTTTAATGACCAAAACAATCAGAGGTAAGTCATAAGTCAACAAGACATAAGTCACAGATAAAACAGCAGAGGGGCTAGGCCCTAACTCTAAAAACAATAGGAACGTGTGTACGGCGATGTAGGTCAAGGGTTGTGTCAACACAGTGCACACATGTGTGTTCTTTGCGGACATTTTTGGCTCGCTCTGACATCCCGACACGGTTAATTATGGTTGATTTTATTCTCAGAGTTAATAAGTTATAGACCTAAACTGAAATGGATTTAGGTCTTTATGCCTACATCCATCAAAACACTAAAAAGTAATTGTTGTAGCAATTTTGTGTTTTAGATGGTGTCTGCTCTAACTCATACATAAACCTGTATGCCTGTATGGCAGTGTCTGATCTATCTATTTATCATTAAAGTGAGGCTGGAATAGTTTGATATTTTGTCAGTGTTGAGTAACCAAAATGTATTATTTTTAGACTTTGTCCGCCCACCGGTTGTTAGATTGGTAAGAGATAACGTTGTCATGGAGACTCAAGCACACTAACACACTAATTCACGAACACAGCAAACATTTTACACGTTTATATCATCTTATCTCTAAGTCAATAATCAAAACACACTACCGTTTATTGTTACCCTATCTTATTTTTAGTGAAGGGCTAGTAGTACTAGTATGATTGTTTTAACTGTAACCTCGTTTTTTTTTCCATTTGGAAGGATACTTTCAATTCATTGAACTACGTTATATATCACAACCACTTATGTTATCTACAGCCTGATAACATATAGATCTACGTTATCTAAAAACATTTTGTAAGACAGTCTCTAATCTTATTCGTCAACAGCTCTGGTACAGAAGGGTCCGGGACTGTATGAAGCTATGGGTAACAACGTAAGTAGAGAAAATATTTTAACTCTAAGATGCAAAAAGTCTGGCATTTTTGATCTGCTATTTGGTGCGGTATTTAGAGAAAAAAAAAGTGCTAACTAACATACTAACAGAAACAAAAATCACTTTACTAAAAAAGTAATATACTAAAGTATTTGACGTTAGTAATAATTAGATCTAGATATATAGATCTAATACCTAGATCTAAATATTATTTAGTAGGCCCCCTAATATTTAAATGGACACCAGCGAGTTGACGAGATTCCTTCCGTAATGTTGTTGACATGGAATAAAAATGTGCTTTTTTAGATTTATGACCATAAAACTAATAAAAGATAAAATTTTATTAAAAACTAAAGCCTAAAATTAATTCAGAAATATAATATTTTTAGAATTTAGAATCAAGTTGCAGATCCAGAGAACTTGAAAATAATTTGTTGAGTTTAAGGCTACATTTCTATTTATTTTCATCAAGCCTAAGTTATAACCCGATGTTTCACTTTCGTAAGACAAACATTGATTGGCTGTAAAGGAACTCCGTGATCGATTTCTGACAGCCCCACTTTATAGTTATTTTGTTTACAAAACTTTGCAGATCAAGTTTTTAAATAACTATGCAAATTTAAACACCATGACCTATTTTTTCTATTTTTAGCTTACATGTGTACAATAAAATTTATGGCGGCCATTGTTTATGTCGTCATTACACGTGAAAACCATCAAATTGTTTTTGCTTTTTTTTTTAAATTTTTATTTAGTTACCGAAAATATTAAAAACATCAAATACATCCAATCTTTAGTAAAGTCCGAAAAAAACCAGACAGACAGGATTTGGTAATCCCTTAGTTTAGCGTCGGAAATTATTGGGTAATGTTTGTTGAGTTTCGGTAATTAGAGTTACGGTAAACCATGGTTTATTTGACCATTGAAATATAAATAAATTGAAAGTCGATTGTAGTAAATTAATGTTTTAATTTTTTAAGTTTAATCGACAAAAGGAAACAAGAATAAATATAATACTAGATTTAAATTAGTAGATCTAAAAATAAAAACATATATAAATATAAATAATGTATCAAATGTAATAATTTAATGTTTTTGGCTTGCAGCGGATTTGCGACCATTAATTATTTAAATCTAGATCAAGCTAGATATCTAGCTGCTAGGCCAAGTAAAAAAATCTAGATTACGAAAATAGTAAAAATGATTACAAAATGTAAAAATGATTACAAAAATAAATCTATCCAAATTTTAAACATTCTGTTTAAAAATAAAAGAAGACGCCAAATAAAGTATGGTTTACGGTACTTCCGGTGAATTCCGGAAGTGTGTGACAGACTTTGTTATTGTTTCACTGTTTTTTACTGCTATACGATTCCGGAATAATAACCGACGCTAAACTAAGGGATTACCCAGGATTTTATAACCATTTTAATTGTAACTACGCCGTGCAAGATTTTTAAATGAATTTAGATCTAGAATCTAGATCTAGATCTAGATCTAGATTTCTAGATCTAGATCCTAGAACTAGATTAGATCTAGATCTATACACTGACACCTCTCAAATACATTTGAGACGTTTCTCGCTGGTGTCCATTAGATCTAGATCTAGTAAACATGTAAGCAAAGTAACCTTTGGAATAATTGCTGGTGTATGAATCTAGATTCTAGATAGATCTATCTAGACTCTAGATTAGATGGATCTAGATCTAGTTAAAAAATCAAAAATTTTAAAAATAAAAAATCTAAAACAATTTAATTAGAATCTAGTCTAGATCTAGATCTAGAACTAGAGTCTAGTCTACTTTGTCAATGGCCAATGTCATTCATGGTAACCAAAACATAAAAAGCAAAATTTTGTGTGTGATCTGTTTCTTGTTTTATAATGAAAATCTGTTTTCCATTTATTAATTAAATAAGGTTTGTAGGCCCCTAGAGTTTAAACTGTATTCAAATTGTGATTTGTTAGTTAAAAGAATTTTTAATAAAATCTTATAAAACAATTAGAATCTAGATATCTAGATCTAGAGTCTAGTCTACTTTGTCAATGACCAATGTCATTCATGGTAACCAAAACATAAAAAGCAAAATTTTGTGTGTGATCTGTTTCTTGTTTTATAATGAAAATCTAGATCTATATTCATATTACTATTCTGTATGTAGCCAAAATATGATTGACAGATTAAATATAATTGACATATTAAATATAATTGACAGATTAAATATAATCGACAGATTAAATATGGTTGACAGATTAAATATAATTGACAGATTAAATATAATTGACAGATTAAATATGATTGACAGATTAAATATAATTGACAGATTAAATATGATTGACAGATTAAATATAATTGACAGATTATCCTCCCTTACTCTGGGCACATTCCTGGCGGCATCCATGTTGGAACGGATGTTGTGATAGCTGGCAGGACTCACCCAAACTTTGACAGGTATGGACATTGCAGTTCAGCATTATATTTTAACAGGACATTTTTAACAGGACATTTTAAGCAGTTTAATTTAATCCATAATTAATTAGATCTAGAATCTAGTAATTAAAATTACAAAAAAATTAAAATTCTTTGAACAAATTGTATCAGTATCAGAAATCAGTTTGTGGAAATATTTTTAGATTCAGCATCAACTTGTGTGTTGGCCCCAACTTGGACCAAGATTGTGCTCTTCACTTCAACCCGAGGTTCAACGATGGAAAGGTTGTCAGGAATCACAAGCAGGCTGGGAACTGGGGCAGTGAGGAAACTTCTGGAGGGATGCCATTCAGACGTGGACATAATTTTGAAATGCATGTTAAAGTAACACACCAGGGTTATGAAGTAAGAATATAGTCATAACAGTTTTTTTATGGTCCAAAATATTTGTTTTTGTTGCTAAATGTCCTGAGCTTAGACCTCTAGCCAGAGGAGGTTCAATGGGCCAGCAACCGATCTAGGAGAGAAAGTTCTAAAATAAAAAAAAATGCTGCCTTGTAGTTTGTTCTTGGTTTAACAAAACCTACATATTACATAAGGCAAATCCAGAAAGAAAAGCAGGCTGAAATCAGAGTCTGCAGCTTATAACAAGTTGTCATGTAATGTTAATTGTGTTGGAAGAAATCTCTTCCAATTTTACAATTAAGAATGAGGAAGAAGAATGAAGTTAAATCAATTGACTAAGTATTTTAAAAAATTTCATGTTAATCACATTGTTTGCAAATCTATGAGACAAATCTAAAGAAATGATGTTTTAATTAATTAGTGAGAAAATCATTTGTCTCTGTTTAAGACACATCCCCATTTTTCTCCAGATAAAAGTCAACCACCACCACTTTTGTACATTTTTCCACCGACTACCCAAAGAGAGTGTACAGTATGTCCACATTGCAGGTGACTGCAACATTACATTTATTCAGTTCCGTGGAGCACCATCTTCTGTAAGTATTTGCTTGTGTTCTACATTATAACCTTTACAACAGCCTCTATCTGACTTTAAGCTGCCAAATTGATTGAAGATTTTATAAATCTGTTAATTTTGTTTAGTTAAACTAATGCATTTTTATTGCCTATTTTATTTTATGGTAATAACAAAATTTCAGACTTTTATGTAAATAATTTAATGGTAGCCTGCATTTTTAAAAATAATTTATGATTATATAACCTTATTGACATATTTCTTACATTTGTATACTTTTCTTCAAAAAAGTCTTTAACAATTTTGAATTTTGCCTGTTATCAAAGGGGAAATACTCTAAAATTAAACAAACTGCAAATCATGCTTAGTTGCCTCAATATTAAGGTGTTTGAGTTTTTCTACAAATTTATTACTAATTGAACAAATTCTCTGTGAGTCTAATTTAAAAACAAACCCCATTAACATTTATTATGTATTTTCATGTTGTTTATATATTTAAATATTATCCCCACAAATGTTCATTCAATAATTACATAATATTGTTTCAGTTCCCGGCGGTACCCAGCTATGTTCCTCCTTCAGTAAGTTTCATTTTAAATTCTTACAACATTCTTGTTATATGTTCATTTAAAGCAGTGTCATTAAAAATGATTATAATAGCTTGTATAAATATGTTTGGTTTTTGTTTTTTTTAATTTAATTCTCATTAATAAATGTTTTTGTTTTAATAAATTTAATAATGATCAATATATTTTTGTTTTAGTTCCCAGCTGCCCCAAGCTACCCAGCTGCTCCATCAGTAAGTAGCCAACATGAAGATTACTTAAGTATGAAGTCAGAAATTAAGTTAATTGCACTTCACCTTAGAAAAATTGTCCTTTTTTTTTGCTTTCAGTTACAGTGTTATCAGTTTTTAGACAAATTTAGACTAGTGTTAATTAATGGTAACAAGATTAAAATTTTTTTTCTTCTAACAGTATCCAACTGGCCAAAGCTATCCCCCTGCTCCAGCAGTAAGTCAATGTCTTATACACATATTAAAGTAATGTAGACACTTTAAAGTAATTTAGATATTTTAAAATAAATTGTTTGTAGATATTTAAAAGTAGACAATTTTAAATATATGGCTTAAAGATATTTCAAAGTAAATTACTTGTGTATAGTTTGAAGTAATAGAGACATTTTAAAGTAACTTCAGTAGTTTAAAATTTATTCCAATTAAGTGAATAAATAGTTATACAGGAAAACAAAAGCTGATCATTACAAAACCAAGTGATTGATTAACTAAGTAATGAGTTTGTTTTAATGGAGTCATGATTGATTTTAAAAAATTCAACTTTTGTTAAATCTTCTTGTAACAGTATCCTGCCACAGGAGGTCCTATCTACAACCCAGTGAGTTTTTTTTTTTCTACTGTCTTTTAGTTTTTACTTCTAAGTGTTTCTTGTGTTCATTATCTTTTAAACAAATTATATTAATTAACTTCCTTATATTTCTATTTTTTTTACTGTCTTTTAGTTTCTACTTCTAAGTGTTTCTTGTGTTCATTATCTTTTTAAAAAATTATATTAGTTAACTTCCTTATATTTTTATTTATTTTAGTGTCCATGTCTCTAAAGTTTATTCTGTTTTACCTCATATTTCAAAACTATTTAAAATCATGTTACCAAAGTTTTTGTTTTAGTTTAGTCATCCTGTTTTAGGCACTTATGTTTGGAATTTTCTGTCAACTGGTGAACCTACTTAAACTAACACAACCTTATATCTCCTACAGCCAGTACCTTTTACAACTCCCATCCCAGGGGGACTGTATCCAGGAAAAATAATCTACATCACAGGAGTTCCTTTCCCTAACCCAAGCAGGTACATCAGTAATTTCTGTTACAGCAGTTTTAAATTTATGCCATAGTTACTTATCTATTGCTATAATATAGTTAGTATTTGTCGACTGTAAAAAATTATATATTTCTTGTTTGTTTTTTTTAAATAGAAAATAACAAACTTTCAGTTTCAGGTTACTCTAGTTGTTTCTGAAGAACTGAACACATTTTAGCAATGTTTTAGTTAATTTAGTTTTTGATGTATTTATTTCATCTCCATCAGAAGTTTAACCAAATGTAAATTATGTCTCCAGATTTACCATCAACCTGTCTTGTGGCCCCTTTGATTCAGCAGACTTCGTCCTTCACTTTGATGCCAGATTTAACTTCGGTAGTGACAGGAACCAGGTGATCAGGACACACAAACAGTCTGGTACCTATGGGTCAGAGGAAAGGCACATGAGTTACTTCCCCTTCTTCCCTAACACCAACTTTGAGCTGATGATCCTGACAGAACAAAGTGGCTTTAAGGTCGGCTTCTCATCTTTTTTACCAGCTTCAAATAAAATTTCTCCTCATGCTTTGTCTTGTCTTGGTGAAATCTTGCCAATAAAACATTACTATTTCCAACTAAACCAATTTATTTCAAACTTGATACAGGTTTAGTTCCACTGATTATGACATGGGCTTTGATGTAATTAAATCTATTTTTAAAAGAATTATTAAAGATTGCTTTACACAGTTTTAATAGTGTTGCATATTTCAACACATTTGTTTTCAACCAGTGCTGTGAAGTTTTTTAGGAATGAGGTTTTGTTTAAATAATTGTAAATATATAAAAATCGCTCATGATAATTGGTTTTTATATATGTACTAAAATAAAGAAAGTTAAAGTCTTTTCTTTGAATATAATAATCCACAACTATTAAAATAACTATTACTAAAAACATAGTTTGCTCATCAAATCCTAGTTATAGTATTCACTTGCAAAAATATCACGAAGGCCTGTTTATATGTGGCAATGGCCCTACACACATATTCTAAACGTAATCAATACATCGCAAAGCAATCCATTTATAGCTATATAAAAATCATGCATTATTATATTTAAGGAAAATCATGTTAATTTATTATTTTTGAGACATGTTTAAAGCTTGTTACTAAAAACATGCTGAAATATTTTTTTGCTATTTTTTTTAATTTGCGGCTCTGAATTTGTGAATGTTTACAAAAATTAATTAAAATCTATGATTAACAAATGAATTAACCTTACAGATCGCAGTGAACAACCAACATTTCACAGAGTTTTACCATAGGATTCAACCATTTCAAAGAGCAGACCATGTGATAGTGACTGGGGATGTGAGACTGACGCAAGTCCGCTTTCAGTAAACCACATTTGTTGTTAAACGGAGAGGCACTGTGCATTGTTGACTGGTACTTTTGTCAGATTTATGTTGGGATATTTCAATTTATGTTTCATATTTTCCTGTTATACACATGAATAAAGTATACTTATTTTATCTTTAAACAAACTCTTTAAGTGTTAGAACATTTTTACTTTGCTTTGTAAACTAAAAACGAAATACATTTTTATACATGTGTTAATTTCTATCTTTATAACTTGTCACAAATTTACATGACTACCCACAGGATTAGTTTGACAAATATATAAGTACATATAAAATATGTATACCTGTACACATTTTTATTGTTAGCTTGTAATAGCCTATATTCATGTGACATAATTGAATCTATTTAAAATGTTTTTAAAATAATTTCTAGACATTGTTTTGCAATTTTTAATACTAGATCTTATGTAATCAAAACATTGTGTAACCTTGCTATGTGAATGTGCAGTGACCAACTGCAGTAGCTTGTTAATATTGTAAAATGAAAGACACCCATGACCCAACACAATAAATCAACATCCTTGTTTTATAACCAAGAAAAAAGTTTGAATTCAAGTGATTGTACTTTAAAACAAACATTGTAAATCTTAATTTGTTTTAAGTTTTATTATTTTAATAAAAAGGGAAACAACTCAGATTTTCTTGTGTGTTGTAACATCATTATCACCATCACTCTCAAGGACCCTGTGAGTGGTGAAGGGTGCAAACACACCTCTCCATGATAGTCGATTTAGTATGATTCCTCCAAGTTGGAACCATAATATTCTGGCTCCCTGTGCTTCACTGACAACTGATCTTTTCCAAGTTTGTTTTGGCCTACCCTTTTTCTTATTTACTTGGAGATTCCAACGTAATTCACGTATTGCAGTTCTTGTATGAATTGTTTTTTAACTAATAGTATTTTGCCAGTTTTTCCCCACAATTACGTGTTCTCTGATTTTCTCATATATCTTAACAGTGTTCACATATTTTCTTGTTGACTACATCAAGGAACAGAACACCAGTACGTAGTTGGACATGCTAAAGCTTAGTTACTTCCCCTACCCCTGGCGTCGATTACTAAAACCTAACTATTTAAAAATGAGAAAATGTTTTATTTTTTTAATTTTAAAAAATTTAATTAACTTTAAAATACTTTAATTAATCATTATAAAAATTAATTTGTCGCAGAGCATCATACATTTTTAGAGAAAATTAAACTCAAAGTGAACAATTTTCAGATTTTAGTAGAATTGCAATACTTCAAAACCGGCTCCTCAAGGCAGGCATTGGTAAGAAAATGTGTAGGCTACATGACTAGCATACATTGTAATAGATAAAATGTCAGAAGATAATGTTGATATCTTACACAATCAACTTTATAGTGAAATTAGAAATAGAATATATTTTTATCATGATTTTCTTTGAAAAGTTTTGAAACAACTTCCACCTTGTTTATCTGAATCAAGGCACAGTAAAACTAATCTGAAAGATGAAAGTTTAAGATACATATGTTATGAACCCACATTGTAAAGTGGAAGTAATTCTGGAAGACATCTTTTGATTTAGAAAGATTCTCTTGACACGTCTATCTTAAAATTGACAAAAAAAAAACCCCAATAAAAAACAACTTAAATTGCGATTCCAACATGTTTTATTATGTACATATATCTATTAGTAAAATAATGTGTCACCATTATAGGTAATTCAATTGTCAATAATATGATTGGGGGGGGGGGGGGTGGGGAGAAGCTTACACAAAACCTCCATAAACTACCTTCCACACCACACAACAAAGGTGGTTTATGCTCATGTTATCTATTATGTAGACTTGTAGACTGAAGAGTTCTCTGGTATCTTGTGATACATAGAGCTAGGACAGAATCAGCTGTCGCGTGATCACAAGCGTGTCTACAGAATCAACGAACCATTGAGTTGTACATGTTTAGCCTGCAGCAAGTAGAGCTTGCGTTATGCTGGCAATATTTATCGCCCACACTGAACTACACTATGTCATGACCTTTGGTATGTCTCGAGTTCGGATCTCGGTCCGTACTTGGGACAGTAGAACGTCTCTAGGTCCAGCCAGCTCCGGTGGGCACCTGCCTCACGTTGTGGAAAGTAGAGGCGGCCGTGCATGGTGCTCACCACACCATCCATTCATATACCGAGGTCTATACTTTATTTTTTTAAAGCTACACTCATTTGTTTAACACATGCTACAAATTCTCGGCAAAACTTGAATCTGTTGAATGGCTTTGTATTTTGATTATTTCTTGAATTCATCTGCATATAATTTATATTATAAATAGAGAACACCGAAATTATATGTAAATAAAACGGATTTTTAAAACATTAATTTTACGATAGGGTTTTTATATTTTAAATTACTTTTGACACTCAATTAAATTAAAACGAAAATGCTTCACTGACTAGCTCAGGTCTCACTGACTAGCTAAGGTCTCACTGACTAGCTCACGTCTCACTGACTAGATCAGGTCTCACTGACTAGCTAAGGTCTCACTGTCTATATCACGTCTCACTGACTAGCTAAGGTCTCACTGACTAGCTAAGGTCTCACTGTCTAGATCAGGTCTCTCTAACTAGCTCACGTCTCACTGACTAGCTCAGGTCTCAGTGACTAGCTAAGGTCTCACTGACTATATCAGGTCTCACTGACTAATACAGGTCTCACTGACTAGCTCAGGTCTCACTGACTATCTTAGGTCTAACTGACTAGCTCAGGTCTCACTGACTATCTTAGGTCTAACTGACTAGCTCAGGTCTCATTGACTAGCTCAGGTCTCACTGACTATATCAGGTCTCACTGACTAGCTAAGGTCTCACTGACTAGCTCAGGTCTCACTGACTAGCTCAGGTCTCACTGACTAACTCAGGTCTCACTGACTAGCTCAGGTCTCACTGACTTGCTCAAGTCTCACTGACTAGCTCAGGTCTCACTGACTAGCTCAGGTCTCACTGACTAACTCAGGTCTCACTGACTAGCTCAGGTCTCACTGACTAACTCAGGTCTCACTGACTAACTCAGGTCTCACTGACTAACGCATGTCTCACGAACGTAATTTTAAAATATAACTGTGGCCTTGCTAACGCCTTTTAAATATTTTTTTTTCTCATGAGAATAGCTTTCGTGGAAAAGAAACATAACCCCCGAATGAAATGTGTTCTTGTTCGCAGACATCCGGCGTGCAATCCGATGAAGGTCCATTACCAGTGGCGTAGGCAGGGGGGGGGGGGGGGTCAAATCGAAAGTTTGAGGGGGGGGGGGTGCAAATCGAAAGTTTGTCCCCGGGTAAAAATTGGAGCCCGCCCCCCCCCCCCCCCCCCCCTTGAGACGATCCTGGCTACGCCACTGTCCATTACCATGTTAATATTTTATGCCATAAAAATTTTGTTATGATAAAATGGTTTTTTAGTTTATAATACATATATAAGCAAGATTATTCGCCTTATGGTTTTTTGTTGTTGCTTTTACTTATTCTTTAGAGGACATCCAAGAAAAGCATATTACTTTATCAATCCTTATTAGGAATAGCGTATCGTCTGGTTTTGTATAGTGTTCTGAGAAGATGGGTTGTTTTGTTTTGACCTTAAAAGGAGGTGTTGGTAAATTGAGGTGGGCGTGTGTTGGGGAAAGGCGTTTATCACCTTATATATATATATATATATATATATATATATATATATATATATATATATATATATATATATATATATATATATATATGTATGTATGTATGTATGTATGTATGTATGTATGTATGTATGTATGTATGTATGTATGTATGTATGTATGTATGTATGTATGTATGTATGTATGTATGTATATCTTCTCATTTTAGTTCTGCCACCGTTCTTATTGTGTCGTATTTGATTCGTAGTCAATAGCGTAGCTAGGTCGGGTATCACCCGGTGCGGAACATCATGGTGTCAACCCGCCCCCACAAAATAAAAAAAATGTAGGCTATATACATATATATATAGATAAATATATATATAGATAAATATATATATATATATATATATATATATATATATATATATATATATATATATAAATATATATATAGATAAATATATATATATATATATATATATATATATATATATATATATATATATATATATATATATATATATATATATATATATATATACAGTGGCGGAACTAGAAAAAAAGGCCCCCCCGCAGAATTTTTTTTGGGCCCCTATATATATATATATATATATATATATATATATATATATATATATATATATATATATATATATATATATATATATATATATATATATTTATATATATATTTATATATATATTTATATATATATATGGAAAACAAGGGTCGCTCAAGTTTTTTTTTTAAATTTCCATCTGGTACACGAATAAATCAGAGGTTTTCCAACACACGAGCTGGCCCCTTTCAGTTTTCCAAGTGAGAAGCACGGACTCTCTAAATCTAGTCAAACACACCAAACTGACGCCGATTTTTATGAGGCTTTCATCAAAACGTTACCAACCGTGTGCCCTGTTTTCCAGAAGTTTAATTAAATGTTAACAATGTCGGCAGTTCATTTCTTGGATCTTAGGGCGCGGGTTTGTCCACACTACCAACTAGGCACGCCAAGGCATGCTGTAAGTCCCTCGGCGACGGCCCAGGTGTCAGGGGAGTCACGGGGCTTTTGAGAGCTACCGGTTACATTACTGCACGGGTGATGGGTGCGACACATTGTTTCTTCCGGCAGAGCTCTCCCCCCCCCCCTCCCCCGAAAACAATCTATCCTGGAAGAAACATTGGTGCGACACCTAATTAGATTTAGTCATCGAGTGTTGTAGCGAGACTTATTCCTAGTGTTGTGGGAACTTTTAAACGACTGTCTGTGGGGGCCAACTTGCTCATATGTGATGCGCTCTGGATGACACTACCGCCGGTTGTTTTCAAGTAGTAACCTCATCCGCTTATGCAGGATCACGGGGCGCTAAATCACATGTTTCCGTTAGGAGTCCCCACTCCAATATGTACAAATGTTAGGCCTATGACAGAAACCTTTGCGGGGCTGTACTTAACAGCTTCCCAAGTTTTCATGGCGATTGGGTGAATGATGCAGTAATGCATAATAGACAGAAAAATGTTTTTCACATGTACAACTGTATGTGGCCAGGTCACGCGTTGGATAACCTTCTGATTTAGGAGAGGGGGGGGGGACTAACAAAAAGCCAGACCCTCACACACCCCCACCTCAATGACGTCATTTACAAATTGTAATTGACTATTAATAATGTTCAATTAATTATAAACGTTCTAATTAATTTCTAAATTATATAAAAAAAATAATCTTTCCTGCCCTGTTTTGTGAATTAGATGTGCCTAATACTATGCAAGTAAACTAATATCTGTTGACTAGATCTAGTGCTGTCTATTGTCTGACAAAATGTGCTGAAGTGGTGAATCGTACGGTTAGGAAGTAGTTCATAAACGATACATTTATCTCCTCGATACTTGTGAGGTTGAGAAAGAGGGATGGGATAGGGGTCGGCTCGGGAAAAAAACTTGAAAGAAACAACAAAACGCCTTGATCTATGTACGTCAGCATCGCCCATTGGAAAACTTACTCAGGGGAGATAATTCCAAGT